GGGACAATTCTCCCCAGGTTCCCGACATCTGGCAGCCTGGGGCTCCAGTCTGAGCAGCTGCCCCCAACCCCACCCCGACTTCAGATGCTGGAAGGTGCTGCTGATGCAAGGCCTACCTCAGGGAACACTTGCTCCTCTGCCTGTGGGATCTGGGACTTCGGACAGCAGGGTTTCTTGAAGAGGGGCTCATCCAGATTTCATGAGCTGGAGGGTGAAGCACCGAGTTTCCCTTCGAAGAACTTGCCTTGGGACCCTGCCCCAGGAGAGAGGAGACCGTGAAGCCTTGTGTGTGCGCCTGGGTGAATGTGTCCAACAGCCTTAAAGAACATGAGGCTTTTTTTCAGTGATAGAGTACATCCTGACCATCTGTAAGTGTGCAGCTCAGTGGTGGTAAACTTTCATAGCGTTGTGCAGCCATCACCGCCACTCATCTCCAGGACTTCCTCATCTTGTAAGACTGGAACCCTGTACCCACTGAACACTAACTCCCCATTCCTGCTCCCCCAGCCCAACCACCACCGTCCTACTTTCTATCTGAATCTGACTATTCTAGGTACCTCCTAGAAGCCGAACTTTACAGTATTCGCCTTTTTGTGGCTGGTTTATTTCACTTGGCATAATGTCCTCAAGGTTCGCCCCACATGCATGTGCCACAATCTCCTTTTTATAGATGAGTAATATTCCATCGGGTGTATAGGCCACATTTTGCTCACCCATTCATCCACCAAGACACTTGGGCTGCTTCCCTCCTGGCTATAGTGAATGCTGCTGCTGTGAGCGTGGTGTGCAAGTATTTCTTCAAGACACTGCTTTCAGTTAGCTCGGGTAAACACCCAGAAGTGGAATTGCTGGATCCTGCAGTAGCTGTACTTTTAATTATCTTGAGGAACCACCATACTGTTCTCCACAACAGGTGCACCATTTTATACTTCTACCAGCAGCGCACAAGGGTTCCTCATCATGTTTTTGTTTGTTAGAATTATAGTAGCCATCCTGATGGGTGTGTGGTGTCTCCAAGTTTTGATTTGCATATCCCTGATTTGTGGACGATAAGCATCTTTAAATGCGCTTTTTGGCCATTTGTGTATCTCCTGTAGCGACGTGTCTCTTAGTGTCTTTTGCTCACTTTCAAATTAGGGTTTTTTTGTTGTTTAGTTTTAAGAGTTCTATGATTTATAAATATTTTCTCCCACTCTGTGGGTTGTCTTTTTACTGTTGATGGTGTCTTTTTGACACACACATTTAAAATTTTCTTTTAAGTCCAACCTGTCTTTTTTGTTATTGTCTGTGCCTTTGGTCTCACGTGCAAGAAATCACTGCCAAAGCCGATGTCATGAAGGTTGTGCCCTGTTTTCTTCTCAGTTTTATAGTTTTTGGTTTTACATTCATGTCCTTGATCTATTTTGAATTAATTTTCACACGGTGTGAAGTGACGGTCCAGTTCATTCTTTTACGTGTGGGTTTCTAGGTTGCCCAGCACATTTGTTGACGTGATAGCCCTTCCCCCTTAAATGGACTTGGCACCCTTGCCAAAAATCATTTGGCCACATACAAAAGGGGTTTTGTCCATACTACTTACTCTGGTGAATAAGGAAGACTCTCAAAGATCTCCCCACACTGCCTCTCCTTTCTGGTGCTGTCTCGTCTCTTGTCTTCCAACTACAGATCTCTTGGTCAGCAGGCCTAGCTGGGCTGACCCACACGCAGACACAGACAGGAAGGCCAGCTGTGCAGACCCCCAACCACAAACAGAAACACGCAGCATCCCTGCACGTGCTGGGGGCCCTGGAGAGCACACACCTTTCAGGGATGGCATGAACACTGAGAGTCCTAACTGCCACCCGACAGGGACCTGAGTGGGTAAGCGATGTGGGAGCTGAGGCTTGGAGGCTGGAGAGGGCTTGCCAAGCAAAGGGCCGTCTGTATGTCAGAGGCCACTGCCGGGCTCGGCCACGGGCAGCAGGGGCAGGCAGGAGTCCACCCCAAGGGGCCTCGTGCCTCATCTGTGAGATGAAGTCCCAAAGGATGTTTTAGCCGAGAGACTGTGGGCACACTCCCAGGAACATGGGCAGGGGGACGCGGGGAAATTGGCTCTGCAGTCTGGGGTTTTTCTGTTTTCTTCCTTAACAGACCCCTGCCACCAGCAACGGGCCTGGCTGGGCTCCTCTCGTCACTGCTGCTCTGCGGAGGAATGGAGTGGGGGTGAGTGGGAGGAGGGGCTGCGGTGGGAGTGGGTTTTGGGGAAAGGGCGGAGGGTGCGGGGCAAGGGCTGTGGGGGCGTCTGACCGGGTTCTGCCACTCAGCTTGGCCAGGCTCCCTCCCTGCTCAGGCCTCGGCTTCTGTATCCTAGGAGGGCGCCCCCCACCCGAGCCCTGCCGTCCTCTCTCCCTTGCCTGGGGCTTCGTCCCGGCCACCCTCAAGACCCCACGGGCTCTCCGCGCCCGCTGCTCTTCTGCCCCTCGTGTGTCCATCTTCGCGTTGCCTCGCCCGTCCCCGGGGGAGCGTTCCCCGGCGTGGCCCGCACCTCCCACGTTCACATGAACACGGTCCTGCGGGGCGGCCGTGGGCACCAGCTGGGCCCGGCGGCGGGAAGCGTGCACTCCGGGTGAAGCCCACTACGGCGGGGACACGCCCGCCGGCACGCCGACTGGCCCTCGCGACCCAGGCTGTGGCCACACCGACGCTTCCGGACTCCGACACAGCTTCGCGGACGCCCGAGGCTTCCCGCCCCGGAAACGGAAGTGCGTCACGGGCAGGCCGCGCTCCCTGCGCAGACTCGCCGCGGCGTGCGGGACCCGGAAGTACTCGCAGAGGTCCCGCCTCGCCAGCCAATAGAGCTGCCGGGGAAAGCGCAGCTTCCTTTCTGCGCTCGCGCTCGTCCTGCTGCCATCAGGTAGGCCGCGCGGGGGCCGGGGTCGGGGCCGGGGTC